AAAAAAAAAAAAAAAAAAAAAAGTTGAGGGATAATGAGAGAGTAAAATGAAGCCTCTGTCAGGAGCTCGAGGGAGAGGGGGCTGTGAAGCACCGTGTGGCCACTTTCGTCTTGAAGATGCATGTATGGCTACAGATGCGTTTAGAGGAAAGATTGGCCAGCGAGGGATTGTGGGATCATGGAGAATTCTCGTCTTATTTTGCCCATTTGCCTTTATTATTCCAGAGCAATAGTAGACATAAAAGGGGGGGGGCATAGTGGCACACCCCTTTAATCCTCAAATTCAGGACGCAAAAGCAGGCAGATCTCTGAGTTCAAGGCTGGCCTGGTCTACAGAGCGAGTTCCAGAACAGTCAGGGCTGTGCAAGAGAAACCTTATCTCAAGAAAAGTGGGGTGGGGGGTGTTGAAGGCTCGAGAGATGGCCCAGGGTAAGATGCTTGCTATGCAGGACCTGGAGACCTGAGTTTGGTTCCTAGAAGCTGTGTGAGGATGGAAGGAGAGAACTAACTCCACGGAGCTGTCTCCTGCCCTTCTGCCCTCCATGTGTGCAGTGTGGCGTGTGCCCTCCTCTACCATCCACACACACTGAAACAAACAAACAAACAAACAAATAAAAATAATAAACACGTGAAGAGTGTGAGGCTGCAGCTGCAATCCAGTGGCAGCACACTGTCTAGTCTACCTTTCATTGTTTTTCAAGACAGGGTTTCTCTGTGTAGCCCTGGCTGTCCTGGAACTCACTCTGTAGCCCAGGCTGGCCTCCAACTCAAAGAAATCCATCTGCCTCTGCCTCCTGAGTGCTGGGATCAAAGGTGTGCACCACCCCACCACCCCACTGTCTACCCGATCTGATCTTGCACAAGGTTCAAGTTCTGTGCCCAGGACAAAAGCAACAGAACCGACTAGGTGTGCTCTTCACATGGCCGAGGAGTCGCTCACCCCGGGGAACTCGCTTCAGTCCCTTTGTGGGCAGGGTGCCTGACTTTCCTCTGTCCGGAAGAACAGAGCTGGGCGCCCTCGTACTTACAGTAGGGGACAGCCAGGGCCCCGAGTGAGCATCCTCTCATTTCAGAGCCCCAGGTCTTGGTGATGTGCTAAGACACACAGTCTGTGTAGAGCAGGACTCGGGAAGCTGCTGAGGCTGCAGAGCTGGAGAATGGTTCGAACAGCTCAGAAGGAATGGCCACTGAGGCAAGAAGGTCATTCTTAGGTGTAGGGCAGCCAAGTCAGACATCTTCCCCCATTACAGGGCTCATGGCCCATGTCCCGATCACAGACAGAGAAAGGAAAGTGACATCTCTGTTTCCATCTCAGGGGAGCCTTTACACACGAACACCTGGAGACCTGGGGAAATTATGTGTGTATGACTGTGTTGTGTGGGGGTGTGCATGCACATGTGTGTGTGTACATGTGCGTGCATGTATGTGGAGGCCAGAGGTCAATATTGGGTGCTGTTTTCCAGGAGCTTTCCACCTTGAGTTTTTTCCCCTAAGATTTATTTGTAGTTGTGTATGTGTTGGGGGGTGTGGGTATGTGCATGATGATAGTGTGGGTGCCCTTAGAGGGTAAAAGGGCTTCTGGTCTCCTGGAACTGGAATTACATGTGGTTGTGAGCTGATAATGTGGATGCTGGGAATCGAACCTCTGGGCCTCTGCAAGAGTAGTACACATTCTGAATGACTTGAGCCCTGCCTCCAGCCCTGACTTGGGTTTCTGAGACAGGATCTAGAACCCGGGGCTCCTTGATGAAGCGGAGATGGCTGGCCAGCAAGTCCCAGGGAGCGTGTTTCCAGCTCCCCAGCACTGTGCCCAGCCTTGGGTTCTGGAGATCCTAAGTCAGGTTCTTGCATTTGCATGGTGAAGACGAGCACTTCATGGTTCATACTTTCTCTCAGCTCTTGGAGAAACTGGGTTTGATGCTCAGGTCTGGTGACTGGGCAGTGTGTGCAGAGCTGTGGCTGGACAAAGGGTAGAGCACACTCTTGTGACAGACTGGGGTGGGAGCAGTGAGGAGTCTGTTCAGATTCTTGGGGCTTCCTGGTCTTCAAGGACAGGGACAGAGGGACTCAAGGCTTTATGGCTTGCCTTGGGAGAGGTAGTCCAGCTTGTGTGAATGGCCTTGGTGATGGCAGCTCTGGTTTCTGGGACTCATTCCAGGGGCAGGAGAGGGTCAGGAACATTCAGATTTCAAGGCTGTGCAGCTCCCCCAAGTGCATACTTTGGTCGGGTGTTGCCCCCAGTGCACAGTTCTGAGGAATCTAGTCACACTCGGTCTATTTTATCCCACAGAAGACATGTCGGAGGCAAGACTCATGGCCAGAGACCTCATCAAGACTGTCTTGCATGACCAGGTCCCCCGACCTCCAGTGGCTCCTGGGGCTCCCAGCATGAAGGAGCCCGTGGAGGAAGAAAATATTAGTCCTGTGAGAGACCTGGACCTTGCGGAGTGCCTGGAGGACAGGTGGGGCCCGTTGACCAGCGCCCTCCTCTGGACATGGGTTGAAACAGCACCTTCTGTATAGAGCAGGAGTGTGTGTGTGGGGAGGGGGGGATGTTGAGGCAGGGTGGGAGAGAACAGGGCTCCCTCAGGACCAACACACTGCAACCTGGGCCATCTGGCTTCACTAGGAGGGGGCATGTCTGTTGGTGCCACTATGTCCAGATAGAGAAGGCAAGGTCCCTCCTTGCTCAGGCTGTGAGACCCACCACTCACTTCGCAGCAGAAACTGAGCATACTGACCAGGGCGGGTCCTTCTGCACACAGGCGGGTCAGCACAGCCTCTGCATGTGTGCCCTCAGCTTCTGGGTTCTGTTACTCTGGTTGTGGAATTAAAATGGGGCTATTCGGATGTCTGTTTCTCACTTCCTGCTCCATTCCCGAGGGAGGTGAAGCCTGGGACAGTGTTGTCCTGGGGTCTCCCAGGGTATCAAGTGGAACCAAAACTTCCCAACCTGGTTGCTAGACAACCTTCCAGGCTCCTCACACTCTTCTTACCATCAGAATCGGGAGTAGACCCGGGACACTGGGTCAGTGGTGCAGATGGCCAGGGCTTTGCTGGGTGGGGCGGATGGCCCCTAGGGTCCCCTCTGCAGGGACTTTCCAGTGAGCTGCTGAGTCACTGGGGTGGAATGTTCGGGCAAACCCCAGAAAGGGCTTAATCAGGCTGGTTTCGGTGTGTATACGTCTTAGTTAGGGTTTCTATTAATGCAGTGAAACACCATGACCAAAGAGCAAGCTGGGGAGGAAAGCGTTTATAAGGCTTACACTTCAGCATTGCTGTTCATCACTGAAGGAAGTCAGGACAGGAACTCCAACAGGGCAGGATCCCGGAGGCAGGAGCTGATACAGAGGCCATGGATGGGTGCTGCTTACTGGCCTGCTTCACATGGCTTGCTCAGTCTGCTTTCTTATACAACTCAAGACCACCAGCCCAGGGATGGCACTACCCCCCGCCCCATGGCCTGGGCCCTTCCCCATTGATCACTAATTGAGAAAATGCCTTAGAGCTGGATCTTACAGAAGCGTTTCCTCAACTGAGGCTCCTTCCTCTCTGGTAACTCGAGCTTGTGTCAAGTTGACACACAAAACCAGCCAGTACAGTGTACGTGCATTCACCATGCACACACATGTGTGTCTCCCATTTCGCTAGAGAATTTTTCACAATTTTTAACATTTATTTTATGTGCACGAGTGCTTGCCTGCACATATGTCTGTGCACTGAGCACACTCCTGGTGCCTCCAGAACTCAGAAGAGGGTGTCGGATCCCCTGGAACTAGAGTTACAGATGGTTGTAAACAACCACATGGGTGCTGGGAGTCGAACCTGGGTCTTCTGCAAGAGCAACAAGTGCTTTTTATTAACTGCTGAGCCATCTGGCCAGTTCCTGAGAGTTTCTTTAAATTGAAGGCATGCACCATCATGCCTGGCTCACTTGGGAATCGGTTTAGCAAGTGTGGTTAGCCACTCTCCATCTGCAGAGGGCGCAGACACAGTATTTCAGCACTGGGAACCAGGAGCAGGTCTTGGAGCAGGAAGATAAACTGAGACCCTGAAGGGGGCTCAGAGCACCCCCCCACTACTCCTACCATCCACTGATACCATCAAAGCCCACCAGGGAGCCCCCCTCCCAAGATCCTCTAGGGGAAAGGTGGGGTGATGGTTTTTCTGGGGTAAGTTGTCCCTGGCTTCCAGGCAGGTTCATGAGACACTCCTGGCATTAATGTGTGTCTGAGTTCCACAAAAGGCGGACATGGGGTACAGGCCCCATGGAGTAGGTCCCTTATTGGCCCTTCTGCCCGATGTCTCAGCCTGTGGCCTGTCCTGCAGGGGCCCATTTGAAATGGTCTTTACTCCAAAGTGTACTCATGGATGAGAGGGACACCAAGAAGGTTGCTGCTGGCCACCGGTGTCCCATTGCCCTCCTCTCTCGGGGCCTTGAGTCCCACAGGAACTGGGATGGGTGGGTGGTATGGCCACCCAGCATAACCACACCAAACTTCCCTGTGCCTTCCTGCAGAAACCAGGTGGCCCTGAGGCTGGCCTACATCGGTGATGAGATGGACCTGTGTCTGCGGAGCCCCCGTCTGGCCCAGCTGCCCGGGATTGCCATGCACAGGTAACCAGCTGCCCACGTGGGCAGGCAGAGCCAGAACCAGCCCAGGACTGGGCCCCAAGGGCACCCTGCAAACCATGGAAGTAGTGTGGGAGCGCCCAAGCAAGCTTGGAACCCTTTGCTTCCCAGCCGCCACCTGGGTCCCCCAACCTCCCCTCTGGCCGCAGCAGATTAAGCATCACCCAGGGTCTTTCTGTTGCCCCTCATCAAGCTGGACGGTCCTGAGAAGGCCCAACTCCCAGTGTGGGCCAGGCCTCAGAGGCAGCCCTTCGGTTGGTCTCCCAGGAGGACAGGTATAGGTAGCGACTTACTCAGGGGGCCTTTCAGAGTGGGGATGCTCCTTGTGGCCCGTTCTGGGCAGAGACCCAGAAGTCTGGGAAGACATGGCTTTCTTAGTGGAGAGAGCAGGATGTCCGAGGGGCACAGAGGCTCTGTGCGCCATACCGTAATGGGTCACAAGTGTAGGCTTCCGGCGTACAATAACCACTTTGCCCATCTCATGTCTAACAGACTCGCTGTCACCTACAGCCAGACGGGGGTCAGGGGCGTTTTCAGGAGCCTGATTCGTGGCCTCACCAACCTCAGGGAAAACATTTGGTCCTGGAGAGTCCCGACTCCTGGCACCTGGGTAAGAGTCTTGACGCCTCTAGTCCCCATGTTACCCTGCCCACAGGGCAGCCAGCAGCTCCTTAGCTGGACTGTCTGGTTTGCCACAGTCCCCACCCCTCCCTAGAGCCTCTTTCCCACCTCTTTGAACTCCTGCCCCGTCCCAGGAGCCTTAGTGTGTGCTGCCGCTGCTTGACTGGCTGGCGAACTCAGGAAGGTTCAAGTACACACTCAGCAGCGCCTTCCGGTCTCTGCGGCAGGCATCCTTCCTCTGGCACACAGGACCCTCTCTCAGCCACAGTCTCAGGGCCGCCATCCCTGCTCACCCCCACTGGTTGAATGTCCATGTTCACGCCATGTCCCAGATCCCCCACTTGTGCCTTGGGGCTTGTTCACAGGCCCCGGGAGCTGTCCCTGGGCCTCACTCTCCCTCTCTTGGTCTCACAGGTGTTACCTGACCAGGCCCGAGGACAGCTGTTTCCCATGGTGCTGTTGGTTCTCTTGCTGCTGGGCGGCGAGGCCCTGCGTTTGCAGCTTCAGTGAAGCCCAGCGGGGCCAGGGCCGGTCCCTGCCCCTCAACCACCCCCTAGAGGTGCCGGCACCCTAACTGTGGTGTTTTCTGACAGTCCCCCCACCCACCCCCCTTTTTTTTAATATTTAACTCAGGATAGTGCTGAGATTTCATACAGGTTTTCTGGGTTTTTGTAAGGCAAATGAATTCACTCTACCTCAGGGGCATTACTGGCTACATGCCCCTGAGGCCTGGCTGGCCTCTCTCTTGACCCCTGCCTGCTTCCTCTCTGCAGGCTGGTCCTGTGGCCACCAGGGCAGGGGAGTGCTGGCCACACCCCTGTTTGTGAAGCCTTGAGGCACAGAATCTACTGGACTAGATTCCTTGAGGTGGAGAGTTCAATAAAGTGTTGTTTCCAGCCGGCCTCCCCTTTGGTCCTCTGGGGGTGGGGGGCTGTCGAAACACTGGATAGAGATGGTGGAGGGGGAAAGGGTGGCCTCTGTCCGTATTCCTGTGCACCCTGCCTGCACCCAACGGCCATAAGCACCCCCCACCCCACCCCCAGGGTTTCTCTGCATAGCTCTGGCTGTCCTGGAACTCACTGTGTAGACCAGGCTGGTCTCGAACTCGGAGATCTGCCCGCCTCTGCCTCTGTGCCACCATGCCCAGCTCCACAGCACCGTCCTGTCTTGTCCCCTTCTGCCTGGAATCCTGATGAGGAAGTCTGTCTGCCTCCTGTGATGTTGGTGTGTACTGCACAAGGAACACCAAGGGAGGAGTCCAGGCTGCCACCACTGGGGCTCAGTACCTCCCCCAGGCCTGGCCCCTTCTCTTTCTAACCAACCAGGGCCTCCGTCTGGAACTTTGCCCATTCCCATCAGACCCCAAAACAGTGCCCTCCCTACGTAGCTACCAGTGGCTGTGACTTCAGGGGCCGGCCACTTTCTCCGGCCCCCTCCCAAATGCCCTCATTATGTGTCCTTGAATTGTCCCAAATTTCCCAGTTCTGGGTGAGGTGCTTGTGCTGAGTCCCTCTGCTGTCTTGGGTGCCTGTTACCACCTTGGCCTTACCTCGCAGCCTCAGTGTCCTTCCCCGGGAGGATGGGGCCACCTGGCTTCCAGACCAAGGATCAGGAGACTGGCTGGTGGGACATTTGCTTGCAGGGGATTGACTCCTGTGGTTCTCTCTGGGCTCCTGGCTGTCTGCAGGGTCGCTGTGACCCAAAGGGCTGTGACCAGGGAGGCCGTCAAGCTGGCTACTCCTGGGACAGGAGCTAACTCCACTGTGGCTTTGAGTCCTTCAGCAGCAGGGTTGGGGAGGTGGAGGCGGCAGGAATGAGCACTGCTCTAGAGATGGAGGAAAGGGCCTCCCTGGGCTAGGCAAAGGAAGCAGATGTCACTCACCTCCGGTTCCCACCATGTTTCCCACAGACCACCATCAGCCCCGTGGGCCTCGGTGAGCCTCCTACCCATGTGGCCACGGGCTCTAGGCTCTCTCTTCAGCAAGGCAGTTATGACCCTCAAGCTGGAACCTCACTCCGGGCGGTGGGAAACTGAGGCCACACCCAGAGCACCTGTACTCCCTTCTCGGGGTGCAGATCAGAGCTGGTTGCTCTAGGCTTGCCTCGGCTCCCAAGCCCTGGGTATCTCTGTGAGTTGGCACCGGCCCAGTAGGGTGCCAGCTCCCATCCTGTCACAGCTGCCCGAGGCCTCACAGGGCGTCCATGGACGTTGCTCGGGAGAACAAAGGCCACCTGCTTTGGGTACTCCTCTTTCAAGACACCAGACTCAACACCAGAGCCCCGCCCCCAGCTGCGCCACCGGCTCGTCTTTGGTGAGAGCAGTCCTGCTGACCGCAGAACAAAGATTGCTGCCCTGCTCAAGGGTGGGGGTGGACACTTGTCACCTTTCCACAGCAGCTTCACACACACCACTCCCCTGCCCAGGCCCCAGGAGGGGTGGAGGGTTCTGGGACAGTGGGGCACCTTCCCTCAGGTGACAAGGCTGTGGGAGCATCTGGGGCCTTGCATGTGGCCACACGGTGGGACCCCCACTCCCTATGTGCTGTCCTGTGGGATGCACTAGTTCAGGTCGACCTCACGCTGCGCTCGGGAGAGGTGAGCACAAGCTTCTGAGGTGGCAGCGACCCTGCAGACAGTCAGGAGCCCAGAGAGAACCACAGGAGTCAATCCCCTGCAAGCAAATGCTAATAGCTTTCCAGAATCATCCTCATTTACAGAAGGGTTGCTCTGTCTGCTTGATGCCATTCTCCTGCCTCAGCTAGGACAGGCGTGCTCACTCAGGGTGGGGCAAGCTGCACTTGCACTCATGTTGAGATCCACAGGGTATCTAGAGGTCACAAGGCCCCAAGTACCACCGGCCAGGACCAAAACCAGTTGCACAAGAATGGGGACAGTTGAGTAATAGGACAGGTCCTGTCTAGAGGCCAGCCGAGTCCTGCTGAGAAGGCTATCCAGACTAGGTGCAGGCCTCCCCAACAACAAGTTAATGGGCTCCATCCCCGAGATTCCCCAGCATCACTGAATGAGAAAGCCAGCCAGGCAGCTTAGAAAGGCTCACATTTATCAGGCGTCTCCCCAGGAGCTTCACTCGACTCCTGCTGTGGAGCAGGCTGTGTTGTGAGGGAAGCCATACACAGCTGATTCTTCAGTGACCACTGTCCCATGAACAACTTGGTGCTGGTGGGGGTCTCTCCATGGAAGAACTGGGGCTGGCCTAGGCAGCCAGGGTCCCAGGCTGCCCTTGCCCAGATACACCCTACACCTTACACCATGCTCCAAGTTTCCTCTGCGAGGGACCACCCATTCTAGGGCATACAGCAGGCACTTAATATGCGCTTCTTGGATATGGACAGTATATGGTACTCAATCTCCCAGCTCTTGAGTGAGGAGAGGGCAAAGTGGCTGCCAAGGCCACTGGCCAGACTGAAGGCCAAAGGAGCTATGATCTCGGCCCTGGGAGAGCAGCTGGCACAGGTGACTGAAAAACCCCTCTGGCACCAGGCCTGGTTTGGAGCCAAGCAGTGTCCAGAGCACCAACAGGGCAAGTCTAAGGCTGCCCCAGGCTAGCCCTTCCTGGATTCACTGAGGGGCATGGTTGGGTTCAGAGGCAGAGCAGCATGCTGGTCGGGCAGGTGGTCTGGGGGGAATTCCTTCCCCCAGCAGCCAGACAGCTTGTCAGGTGTAGGGATGGGTTGAGTCACACAATGTGGCGCTCAAGGGCTGTGCTCTGAGGGAAGCCTTAGCCACAGCTGACACTGCAGTGACCATTGTCCTCAAGTCTGAGGAAAGAGGGCAGGTACAGAATGGCCTCATCCTGGCGCCATTCCACACAAGGCCCTCAGAGGTCAGGATCCACACTGGTCTGCATCACATCCACGTGGTGGTAGTACTTCCATGCCTGCCTGTTGCAGCTCTTGAGGATGCTTCCCAGCTGCCGCCCTGGGCCTACCTCAAAGGTGCTGGGGAACTCGGTGCCCTTCTTCCGCTCATAGATAGAGTGCATTGTCTGTTCCCATTTCACCGGAGATATCACCTGCTGCCCCAGCAGCTTCCGGATGTGTTGGGGGTGCATGTATTTATGCCCATTGACGTTGGAGTGGACAGCAACCAGTGGCTTCTTGATGTTAATTGTGCCTAGAATCTTCACCAGGGGCTCCACGGCCGGCTCCATGAGGCAGGTATGGAAGCCGCCACTCACTGGCAACATCTTGGTGCGCTTGAAGTGATACTTAGCAGAATTCTTCCGGAGAAACTGTAGGGCCTGATGGGGAAAAAATGAGGAATCTCACAGACAGTTCCAGCTGTTGCTGGCATCGGTTTAGGCTGGTGATACGCAATTTTGGTGTGTGTGTGTGTGTGTGTGTGTGTGTGTGTGTGTGTGTGTGTGTGTGTGTGTGTTGCACAGGGGTCTGTGCGTGCAAAGCATGACTTCTGCCACTGACTTTCATCCTCAGCTGTTGGCTTTTTGAGACCAGGCCACTGTCTGGAGCCCAGGCTAGCTTTGTACTCACAGTCCTCCTGCCTAAGCTTCCCGAGTGCTGGGATCACAAGGTGTGCCTTATCACATGTGGCCCACAAGCCCTTCGGCGATCACCTTAGTTCACTTTTTCAATTCTAGTTAACTTGGTTGTACAGCCAATGCCCCAGCAGGCTGTCTTTCTTTTTTTAGGTTTATTTTATTTTTGTGTGTGTGTTTTGCCTGCATGTATGCCACATGCATGCCTGGTGCCCAAGGACAACAGAAGAGGATGCCTGGTCCCCCGAACTAGAGTTGTGGATGGTTGTAAATATCATATGAGTTCTGAAAACCAAACATGGGTCCTCTGCAAGAACAAGTGTTCCTAACCTCTGCATCATCTCTCTGTCCCGACGGTCTTTCTGTAGGGAGGTGACATTCACCTGCCCCAAATGAGAAGTGACCATGGCTGTTAAGTAGAGACGTAGTCTGACGTGGCCTAGAACTGACCAGCGTAGTAGCTTGGACGCTCTTCCTCGCCCCTGAAATGGCACAATGCTGCTGGAAAGGTGGCATTCAACTCCAATGCAGAGACGGGCTGGAGTGGAGACGGGCTCATCAGTTAAGAGCACATACTGCTCTTGCAAAGGACCTGAGTTCAGTTCCCAGCACCCATGTGTGCAACTCCAGCTTCAGGGCACCCACTGTCCTCTCTGACCTCCACTCATATGCACATGCACCTCCACAGCAGACACAGACATACACACATACACACAATTCAAAACAAATCTTTTGTTTGAGACAGGATCTCTGCGTAGACCAGCCTGGCCTCAAACTCACAAAGATCTGCTTGCCTCTGCCTTCCAGATGTTGGGATTAAAGGCATGCACCATCAAACCTGACAAAAATAAATCTTAACAAAAAGTGTGTGTGTGGGGGAGAGCACAGGGCATCTGGAGGAGGAGCTGGTAGTACCTGGCACACATACTAGTTTTCAACCAAGAATCCTATTTCCTCGTGATTGCTCCCAAGCCTGCTTCATGTCCCTCTCTCTGGAGCCTGCAGGACAGGAACTCAGAAGGATGACCCATGCCCACTTCACCAGCTCCTTGCTGGGCCCAGGATAACCACAGTTACCCACAGGCTATGGTGAGAGCTGTGCTGGGCACGGCAGTCTGATGGTCAGGTCAGCAGACCTTAGGTTCTCACTCCACGCCCACTGTAATCCCACGGCAGCAGCCGTCCATCCTCCAAGTTTAGATGGTGCTGGTTTTGGCTGTTTGCCCATCTCTCTGTATCCCACTCTCTGAAGAACGTACCTGCTCACCTGGGCATGGTAATGGGACTTCTGACGAGTGAAGCCCAAACCTCCTTCCTGTCTTTAGTCCCAGCTTCCAGCCACAGGG